CTCAATAACTTTCAATGTTCAGGAAGTTGGTATCAAGATTTTCTTGTAACGGCTAATTTGAATGGTTCTTCAACTCAAAGGCTTGTTGCATACATGCTTTTACAAAAAGTAATCAAATTTACATTTAGTAAAAAAACAGAAAAAACTCATCTTACAGCTAATCAATATCTGATACCCGAAAAAATTATTGTCCTGGAACCTGCAGAAGTGTCAAAATTCTCCTATATTGTTGGATGGATCGTTTATAAGCTAACTAAAAGTGATAATGCAACAAAATCACATCCTAAATTTGAAACCATCTATGCTTACCTTATGTCTTTAAATTCGGAACAAGTTGTTTATAAGCAAGATGTTCAATCTCAAACAACAAATATAATTCCAGGCCAAGAATTCCTACAATTTATGTATAAGATGGAATCATTGATCTTTCAATTATTTGAAAAACACAAAGAGTTTGGTCCAAACATCCTTCAATACATACATAATAGTTTACTATGCAATATACCATTATTAGAATCTTTTAACATACTTCTTAATACGTCTACATGTCAAAAATTGGAGTTAAAAGATGATGTTAAAAATTGTCTTTATGAACGTATTGTTTCTACCTATATGAAGAGTAGACAAAAATCTTGGCGAAGATTTAATGATCTTATTCCTGAAAAAGGTACTTCAAGTCTTCGAGAAAATCTTAAATCTATGCGTAATAATAACCAAATCAAAAATAAACATACGTTAAAGAAAACCAGCATTCCGAAAGATCCTGTACTTGGGTTAAAGCAGCTTCAAGTTTGGGCACGGTTAAATGGCGCTGAAGAAGAGTTCACAAAGATATTTTTAGTGAGTGAGTTACAATAGTTACTTTGGGCGTTTGGAAATAATGTAAAAACTGATAAAAAAAAAAAGAATTTAATACCCTTAGTTTTGGATCACCTTAAAAAAGAAACTCCTTTCTCTAAGGAAGCCATACCAAAAGGGCAAATTTTTAAATAAAGTACTTATTAAAAATTAAATAAAAAAGATTTAATAATTTTAAATGAAACGTAGTTATTCAATAAAAAGAAAAGTGGTCTAAGAAAAGCTACAGTGGTTCAATTTCAATAAAAAAACATTCCTCAAATAAAGGACAAACGGGAGACCTTAACTTGTAGGATCAGCTACTTTTCTATGCATATACGTCGAAAAAATTAAAATTTTCATGCAATTTAATATCTATGCTTTGTTTGTGTAACAGAGATTTTAGGCTTCAGTTTTTTCAATACTTTGATCGGGCCTGTGTAACATTTGAGTTAGCCCCCGTTTATTTATCTATCCCCTAGGTTTTATCAAAAACACGTTACACGATCACGTCTAAAAATGTTCCCTGTATTATGTATACAATTAACTTATTCTTTGTATTAAAAATAGTAAATTTTTTTTATACAAACATGTTTATAACTTTGTTTACATATTTTATTAGATTTTTTTAATATGAAAATGTAAATATATATTATATTATATATATATATTAAAAAATTCTATCCTGCTACGCAAATATATATCTGACTATTAATAATTTAATACTCTGCTATGCATAATTATATCTGACTATTTAAAAATTATGTTATCAAATAAGCAATAATAAATCTCACATAGGAAAAATTTTTATATGTTGGTTAAGCAAACTCAAAACCTACCTTTATATATATTGTTCGGGGTCCTATTTTTGAGATTTAATTATATTATAATAATATATAAAATAATAACAAAAATATTAAAAAATTATTGTGATATTATTTTGAGTTATTTTTATAGACCTAGATACAATATAATTACAAAATAATAGCAAAAATATAATAAAAACATTTTGATGTATTAAATGTATTTTTGTATAGTGCATATCACCTAAACTCATCAAATAAAATTAGTGATTTCAAAAAGCTAATTACTTGTTGCATCATGTTGGTATAAGGATGATATAATTGATGGAAATAATGATATTTGGCAGCAATCACCTATAACTCTATGTATAAATTCAAATCAAGAACAGAATAATGATCAATACTCAGTGTATAAGTTTGATTATATTAAACAAATTCGTAGTGCTGAATTCTACAATCAAAATTTAAGAGAAATTAACTGTACATAACGAAAATATGGCAAAGCACATGGTTTAATGCGAAAAGCACTTGACACTGCAATTGCCACTAATTCTTATGATGAATTTATAGGTATTTGCCATGGATTTATATCAGATAAACAAGCAATTCTAGAATCAGGTCAGAATATGGAAGAAATCAATTTTAACATTAAAAATCCTATAATTATTACAAAAAAAGGAAGGCCAGCTGGAAGAGCAAAGAGTTGTGTTGAGATTCAAGACCAGCATGCTAGAAAATGACGACATTTACAACCATTAGATGATAATAATCAAATGTCAAATAACAATGCAAGTGGAAGTAATAATAATGAAAAAGACAAGTGAAAGACTTGTCAAAATTGTGAAGAAAAAGGGCATAATAGGGCAACGTGTAAGTTCATTAGTCAGAATGTGTAAATTATTTCAAATATATGTATTGTTGATTGTACATTAGCAAATGGGATGAAATGCTATTTATTCATTAATTAGATCATGTAAATTGCTATCTATTGTATGCATTACAAATTGTATGTTGACTGTATTAATAAAATGAAAATATTTGCTTTGCATTTTGATTGTATCAGTTTTTTCATATTGAAAGTGTCTAAAACTATGCCAATAACATTTCAAAGGCTAATTTACATTTGTAGAATATAAACTTCCATGATTAAGATTGTAATTAGATTACCGGAGGTTAGGATTGTTAGGATTAGTTAGGGTTAGAGTTAGGGTTAGAGTTAGGGTTAGGGTTAGGGTTAGGTTAGGGTTAGATTAGGATTGGGATTAGGGTTAGGATTAGGGATTATGGTTAGGGATTATGGTTAGGCTTAAGGTTAGGCTTAGAGACGTGTAAATTTTTTTTTTCAAATGTCTTTACTAACTTTATTATTGTATTCTACTTTCTTATTCAGGTAAAAGCCACTATCAGACTATATCAGTAGAGTTATATATGTGCTAATCACATGACTAGGGAGGAATTTTCCCCCCGGTTAAGATTAGAAATTTTGAAATTTTAATAGGTCATTGATATTTCTAAAAAACAATTGATTCGTATCGGGAAAAGATCGACTCAACTGAATGATTATCAGTTATCTGATCTTTTTTTTATTTCTTTTAGAAACGAATTCGTTCGTTTTTTTTTCAACAATGGGGCGTGTCGTTCATTAAATTTAATATATGATCAACTATTTTTAACTATTTTAAAGAAACAATGACTGAGCAGTCAGGTCAGTCTTTCAGTAGACTTATAGGAATGCAAGAAGTGCGGAAGGTTAGTGTATTTTTTGTTTTTTTTATTTTTATTTTTTTTATTTTTTTCACCTTATTCTTATTTCTTTAGGAACGGGTCTCTTCTCTTGGAACGGCGATTTTGGTGACTACTGAAAATGCGAAAGACACGGAAAGTTAGTATGTTTTTTTTCGTTTTCTTTTTTTAATTTTATTGTTTTTTTCTTTACTTACCTAATTCTTATTTCTTTAGGAACGAGTCTCTTCTCTTGGAACGGCGATTTTGGTGACTACTGAAAATGCGAAAGACACGGAAAGTTAGTATATTTTTTTTCGTTTTCTTTTTTTAATTTTATTGTTTTTTTTCTTTACTTACCTAATTCTTATTTCTTTAGGAACGGGTCTCTTCTCTATAAGACCTATATGCCATTTAGCTTGAGTTGAACATCGTAAAATCTTGTAAAAATGGCGACATGGATATCCATGTGTTATAAGAAGATTAACGTACAACGATGTGATCCATCCACTAACAAAATAACATAATGAGTTTTGGTTCCACAAGATATAATCAATCGCCAAATTTCTAAAATTTGATCCAAACCAATTTTAGAAATGATATCAGTGAGGTGTACTTTAACAACTTCATAGTTGTCTTCCCTCATTCCTTCATTATAATCAGTATTTGTTTGTTCCTATTAAAAAGGCAAATATGTTAATTAATATGAAATATGAATAAACAAACAATTCTCTAAAGAAATAATAATTACCTGTATTATAGAATCAATAATTGCAACATCCATCTTAAAACTATCATAATAAAAACACTCTTGCATTTGCTTACAAACTAAAAATACCATTGCAGGCATAAGAAATTCCGAAACAACTTTTTCAATGGATTTAAAATATGCTTTAGGAATAGTTGCAAGACCAACTATAGGTATTTGGTCTTTGTATTCTTCTACCCTTGCGTATTCTGATTTCTTGTCAAGTACATATTGGATCTCTTTTACTAATGTTAAAAGAGATGAATTTGAACGAACACAATCATGAATTTTGTGATTCAAACTTTCAACTCGTTGAGTGCTATTTGCACCAGCTGTAAATTGATTATTTGTATAACATACAGCTCATTTGTATTTTAAAGGATCCAATTGTTTTCTTATATAATTACCAGCTGATGGATATTTTAATTTCAAATGCTCCCAACGATTTTCAAAAAGTGTTGAAATCAATGTATTCCTACAATGAAAAAATTCTTCTCGAAATGCTTTAAATTCATCTGATTTCAACTTATTCCGAAGATTTTTCTTCAAATTAAGGTCAATATGAAATATACATAAACAATGGATAGTATCTGGAAATTCTAAACTTATTGCATTGGCCATTGCTGGGTCAGAATCAGTAAATACAACTTTCAGTATAAGATCATTAGTACCTTTTTTAATCATACTTAATGCCCAAATGAAACTTTCTTCTGTTTCATCTTCAAGTAATGCAGTTGCAACAAGTCGTGTACGATTACAATTGTCAATAACTGCAAAAAACAAGCCATCATATTATATTTGTTAGTTCGAGACGTAGTGTCAAAAAATAGAACATCATGATAACACGTCCATAAAAATTGTTGATCCAATGTCATCCATAATAATCCACACAATCATCATTCAATTCCATCAAATTTAGTTTCTATAAACCAACGTGAGTCATCTGTTTGTTGTGAATATAAAAATTTCATTAAATCAGAAGCATCAAATTCAATTCTTGATGCTAATTTCTTTTTTGAAGCTTGGATGGCATTATATAAATTTTTCTGGTGGATTTTTCTTCCAGGAAACTTTCCTCTTAAGAGCTGACCGATAGTTTATGTGCCAGTTGTTCCATTTTGTACACAAAAATCTATAAATTGAATCATATCTTCACCAAGCTTACGATATTTAGCAATATTGGTTGAAGGAGAAGGTATCATTTGATGATTGTGTTCATCAACAACAGTAGTGAACGAAATTCTTAAAGAGTTTTTTGGAAGATTTCCATTAACTCTCCACTTACATCCTGTAGCTTTAGACTGGCAATTTCTTTGATCATTTGGATTCAATATCTTTTTTGGTTGATAGTTACCTGCACAACAACATTCCCAACTAATTTTTCGTAGGATTTTATTATCATCATTTTCAGTTCTTTTCCGCCAAATACTGAAACCTTTTTCCAACGCGTAATCATTTAAAAATTTCTCAGCTTCATCACAAGTTTGAAAAGTTTGTCCTAAAGTCAAGTTTAAAGTTGGATTTTCAATATCATCTTCAGATGAAGAATCGATAATTAGAAAATTTTGATGTTGTTTGTCGTGTAACAATTCAACATTTGTCAAAGTTTCATTTAAAGAAAAATTAGAAATTTTTTCGGTCATCTCTATAATGAGGAGTTGTATAACGAGTAACAAGGAAAGTTTACAAAAAAGTTTATTGTAACACGTAAGGCAAGGTTTTTATATAATGAGGAGTCGTACAACGAGTAACAAGGAAATAAGTTTATTGTAACACGTAAGGCAAAGGTTTTTATATGATTACAAATCATACAAATCACATGAAATCAGTATCACGTGAAGGGAGGAAATTTATTTCCGGTGAAATGTAGTTATTTTCTTAAAATTTTCCGATATAGTTTTATAAATAATAACGGATACCAATATACCTATCATGCCATATCGGACATCATTATAATTTATAACCCGATACCTCATCATTCGACCAATGATACTTCGGACGCTCCAACGGTTCCCGTTTCCTAGTATTTTAATATGCATTGGAAGAAATAAGTTGCGCAAAATATATTGTTTATTTCATGATTTACATTTATACATACATTGTAGCTTGCAATAAATTTATTTATGCTTCATCTAGCGTGATAATGCAGTATGCGCAAAATATATTATTTATTTCATGATTTACATTTTATATACATTGTAGCTTGCAATAAATTTATTTATGCTTCACCTAGCGTGATAATGATAATTGTAATGCCAACGAAATGAAGTGAACAATCACCAATAGTTGATTCAAATTTTCTCTATACATTCAGATGTTTAAAGTTGTAAAATTTTTTTTAATCTTGCTTCTTCCTTGTGCAATTTTGATGATTTATTATCCACAATCTCACTTAGGCCAAAATCAATAAAAAAGTAAAGGCAACTTTTTGGCTCATATAGTATATTTCTTGGGGAAATATCGTTGTGTAAGACGCCAAGATTATGTATTGATCTAAGTTGATTGACTATTAACTCTTTCTCCTTTTTTGTGAGTCTTGCTGGATCAATATGACGGGAGTCCTCAATTAACTGTAACGCTAATGCAAAAAGATATCTGTCATAAATGTAACCTTTATAGAATAAACGTGGAACATCACGACCTAATATTAATATAGCAATAGACAAGTTAATAAATATCTAAAAATATTATGAATGAAAAAAAATTGTACCTTGACATTCTTTCAAAATAGAATATATACGAGCTTCATGATTTAGCGTTTTCATCTCCTCTTGTTGCTTATATGCGTCACAAGTCTTCCATGCTACAACTTGATTATTATAATGCCCAGAAAAAACTTTTCCGAAGGACCCACCGCCTATGTACTCGCCTACAGTAGTAATTCCAATTGCAACTGATTTACTACTGCTCTCTGATGCTCTCTTCCTCTTTCTTCCTGAAGAAACATAATAATAATCATCATCATCATCAGAGGATTCAGAGTCATCAGGGTAGTAAGGGTCGTCATTATCATCTTGATCATGGTAACTAGAGTCAGAATCATCATCATCATCATCAGATGAAATATCAGCAGTCACTACACGTCTTAATCTATTGCCGACATTATCATTAATGGCAAGTTGGCTAATATAGTAAACGCATTCGCGTAAAGTTGGATCAGTATCAGTGGGTTGAACAACACGAGTAACATACAGGGTGGTTGGAGATGTTTCTTCTCGTTTAAGAAAGTACGTATCGCTATAATTTGATAAAATGCCATAATGGAGGCCATTACAGGCCATTTGACCAAATATCTGCGATAGGATCCTTTTCTTGAATTTAAAACGTAAATCCGTGATTAGGCGCCGGTCGGCAAGTCGATAAATTTGCCAGAAATGATAACCAATTAAGTTAAGATTGTGACGCGTTTTATATTCCACAGGCATCTTGGCCACTGTGAAATTATTAGTGCTTAGAACATGATCAGAAGAGCCCAAAAATCCGGGGGATGTAACTCCAAAACATGCTCCTGGTGGTAATAATGCTTGGACAGGCACTAAAACATTCAAATAAAAACGATCTTTTACATCTCCTTCAAGACTGAGAGGGATATTTAAAGCTGGGTATGTATCAAATTGTCCTCCCGGAGGGGGAAATTGTCTACCAGCAGTAGTAAGTCTGACATTTCGATTGAATCCGGTCCATTCTCTCACTATTTCTGGAAACCGTTGATAAGCAGCTATTGTTGAAGTTGAATTAGAATTTCGCGGGATCCATTGGCAATCTGGAACGGCGCGACCTAGTATTTGACCTGCTGTTTGAGTCATAATAGAAGACTATTAGAAAAGCAAGAAGAAAACTATTGTCCTTTTATGAAAAATAATCATTATATATACATTAATAATTAACTTCTTGATTCAAATTCCGAATCAGTACAATTATGACACTGTGCCCCAAAAAGGTCAGTTTAACAATCAGCAAAAAAAAATCATGAAAATCATTCCTTATATATATATTTCCTGGTGGAAAGGTATTACCTTTTTTGCGTACCGCTTATAGTAAATTTTTTTTGGCCGCCAGTATTTATATTTCGTTTGCGCAGACGATTATCCATATGGTAACTTCGCTTTGTACATACATTTATGTGTGATGTGTATCTGAGAAATATTTTTTATGTAATTCCAGGAATAAAATTATATAGATGATTTGGAATGACTGTATATGGGTCTTCGTAATACCAAACAAACCCTTAAGGCGCATAATTCTTTCTTGAGTTGATCCCGTGCTTGATAAAATTATTCGGGTCCTACTCTATGAAAGAATTCTATATAATTTTCATGCTGTTCTCCTTGCACTTCGATTGCAAAACCATATTCTGGATGAATATATCAAGTAACTCTCGAGAGTATTTAGGTGTTTTTAAGAAATCCGGCCAGCAATTTTTCTGAGTAGTTAGTTACGATTTTACGTCCAACACATATGGGGCACCATGAATATCAATTTTTTACATTTTCAAGTGTTGCATTTCATTCATAATCTCTTGCACATTTCCATCTCAAATGAGGTGAACCATTAATATATTTATTTGAAATACAGTCTCCACCTTTATTAATTGCAACCATCTTAGCAATATTGAGAGTATTCTTAGGCAATATGGACACCATAACCTTTTATTTTTTATGCTATCAAATGATGCAGTCCATCTATGTTCTTTAGTACATTTCCATAGCATAGGTAAATAATTATTAGTATATTTATCTGGAATACACATCCCTCCTCATTGTCTGGCAATTTCTTTTTTTTATTTAACCTTTTTGGCATTTTGCAAATTTTTTTTAAGACCTTTCAATACTTCAAATATGGTTATACATCATTTAGGCAAGAAGTAACCAAGTCATACTATGTTGACCATGAGTTAAGAGATGATTGTAGACCTAGTGTTCATAAAAGTCAAATGGCTATCTGCTTCAAATCTGAAAATTGGTAAAAATTACCAAAGTAGAACTAAGAAAAGTATATTATAATGGATGGGGCAGATGTAACTATAATATTAAGTCTGAATATTTGATGAAGACTCATTGGATAGAGGCATGATCCGAATCCTATCAATCTGGAGCCATCCGTAAAAAATGCGGATTAGGAATTGACCAGATGGTTCATCAGATATCCGGTGAATCCGATGAATGGATTGAATAGATGGATCAGATATTCGGTGAATCTGATGAACAGATTAAACGGATAGATCATCCTGTGAAATGTTAAATTTTTTATTAATGTTGTGTTAAAGGCTGGACTTTGAGGTAATTGAAGAATGAACTTTAAGGTATGTGAACTGAAAGAGTGTTTCTTTTTGTTAGTTATTTTTCTTTAGAAACTTTTCCTAATGTTTCTTCTTTTTTTTAGGATGGACTAAATTTGTTTTTGAGGTATAAATGTGGAACGAATTTTATTTAACTTTTTTTTAAAAGACGTTCACTAATATTTGTTTTTCTATTTTATGGGTGCTAGACTTGAACGAACTGGATTTTGAGGTAATACAGAAAGGGAGAGGTCTTTTTTTTAATTATTTATTTTTAGAAACACTTCCTAATGCTTTTTCTTTCTTTCCAGAACAGACTAACAGACTTGAATGAGCTGAATTTTCAGTCTTTGAGGTAATATTAAAGTAATGTGAATGAAGGATATTGTTTTTATTTAACTTTCTATAAGAACTTTTTATTAATAATTGTTTTTTACTTTATAGACATCAGAACTGGATTTTGAAGTAATGTGGGAAGGTGGAGGCCATATTTTTTTATTATTTTTTTAGAAACATTTTCTAATGTTTCTTTTTTTGATTTTAGGATGCCAGATCTGTATGAACCAGACTTTGAGGTAATGTGGAAGGAGATCTTATTTTTTATTAACTTACTTAAAAACATTTCCTAATGTTTCTTTATTTTAGCGTCAGAATTGAATGAACCAGATTTTTGAGGTAATTTAAGGGTAGAGTGTATTTACGCCACAACATATATACAATAGTAGACTAAAAAATGTAGATCATCACGTGACCACGAAACGAGCAAAAGCAGACGAAAAATTTATGATTTCTCACAAACTACCATATGAATTTTGTTAAATACACATTTAAAAAGAGTATACACACGCACTTCATTTTATTTATTAAAATATTTAATCATTTGCTATTAGTCTTTTTGAGTGTATTTGGACTTTTAAAAGCAAATATGACCAATAATAAAAAAATAAAATGGTATTAATAAAAAATTTTATTTGAATAAGTAATGCACAATGATTTTTTGATATAAAATATTCTTTTTTATTATACTATTAGCTTGTAAAGTTTCATAAGTTTAAAGTTGATTTGAAGATATGTTCTCTAGGTGATTCGCAGCATAGCAGGCTTTCGATTTTATCACACGAATTTTTTCGATTTTATCACGTGATATACAATTCCGATATGAAACATTGTTTAATTTTTTGAAAAATTCGGCATATTAATATATCCTTAAATTCTATCAATATATATGTCCTATATTAAATTTTAATTATACCAATTTTTATTAAAATCAGATTATTATTGGCTAACTTTTATATGTAACAACTTATTAATTTAA